GTGGGCCTTTGCCTTTGACTGCCAGTGAGATGGGGAGTCATTGGACAGCTTTGAGAAGAGCAACGCCTCAAGCTGACACATTTAAAAGGGTCTCTTTACCAAGTGAGTTAGGTGGAGTGGATTCCTTTCTTTCAAACGAGTTTATTAGTTTAAAAACTAAATACATTCATGGACGCACAAGTATTTTCTTCTGTAGAGCCTCGCTGCACCCCTTCTCTCCTTAGCCCCTGAGCACCCTGAGCACCCCTGGCCTCCCAGCCCTGGGAGGGAGTGGGGCCATCTTCCTCTCTCTTCTTGCCCGCAGGAGATTGGAGCAGAACTTCTTCAACTGCAGCTGTGACATCCGCTGGATGCAGCTGTGGCAGGAGCAGGGCGAGGCCAGGCTGAACAGCCAGAACCTCTACTGCATCAGCGCCGAGGGCTCCCAGCTCCCCCTCTTCCGTATGAACATCAGCCAGTGTGGTGAGTGAGCCGCCGGGCCCCACTGGCTGCCAGGTGGGGTCCCTCAGGCCCCAAAGATGGCGCCACACACACCTCAGCCTGCAAAGCCCAGAAAGCCCTGCCTTCCTCTCCCCACCGCCCCCCCCCCAGCCTTGAATTCTGTCTCGGTTGCAGCTCTGGCTCACCTCTTACCCTCTTGATCAGTCCTGTACTTTGTGAGCCTGCCACGAGGAGGTTGCTTTCAGGAACACAGAAAGGGCTTAAGTGTGTCTTTTCTCATTGCACCAGAACCCTTCCTCCCTGGAAGTCACTTGTCATCCTGAAGGAGTGTGTCTCACAGCGTGGTCTCTGGACTGCCTGTATCAGGCGCATCTAAGGTGCTTCTAGAAACGCAGATTCCTGGGCCCAACCGCAGACTTACGACATCAGGATGTCTGGGGATGGTCCCGGAAATCCGAATTTCTAGCACGTTCCCTATGTGAGTCTGAAACGGGGCAGATTTTTGAGAACCAGCGCCCAAGGTGGAAGATGCCATTGTCCTCTTGCTAAACTGCAGGCCTTGAGCAACTGTCCCACCCCCCACTCGCTCCGTGCCATGTTGGAAGCTTAAATGCTGAGTTCTGACATCTACTGGGGAGGTGGTGTGACATTTCTGGGACCTGAGGGCCTTCCAAGAGCCCAAGCAGGCGGTGCTGGGCAAAGCAAGAAGTGCCCCCATCAAGCCCGTGGACCAAGCTGTGGTGGTAAGTGTTTGCCTATTTTTTCTCCCTTCCCAGACCTCCCTGAGATCAGTGTGAGCCACGTCAACCTGACCGTACGAGAGGGAGACAACGCTGTCATCACTTGCAATGGCTCTGGCTCGCCCCTGCCTGATGTGGACTGGATAGTCTCGGGGCTGCAGTCCATCAACACCCACCAGGTAGGCGTCCTAGGCTCCGGCCCTGTCGGGAGGCTGGGGACCCATCACCTTTGAGTCTTAATGAGATAGATCATGAATAGAAGCACGCGATGCAGGAAGGAAGAAGAAGAGAGAAAGTCTGTGGTCCTTGCTCTCCAGGAAGGAACACGTAGACGTAGGTTCCATCCCCCTGCAGTATTTTCTAGCCAACTTGATCTTAAACATGCTACGAAACCTTTCTGGGCCTTAGTTTCCTCGTCTGTAAAATGGGTAGAGTGCTGCCATTCACCCCATCGGGCAAGTGTGAAGATGGCCTGAGCTCTTGGCTAGAGAGAGCTCAGCCCTTGGTCAGCGTGTCCTCCCCAGGAAGGCCTCCTGCGCCTTCTCCCAGCTTTCCTTTTGGTTCCTGAAGCTGTTCGGGGGTAAGGGGGTGGAGCCCCATTTGCAGGAGCTGATGGTTGTCTATTTTTCTGGGGTTTTAGACAAATCTGAACTGGACCAACGTCCACGCCATCAACCTGACGCTGGTAAACGTGACGAGTGAGGACAATGGCTTCACCCTGACGTGCATCGCAGAGAACGTGGTGGGCATGAGCAATGCCAGCGTGGCCCTCACTGTCCACTGTGAGTGGACGCCAGTGTGGGGGGCGGCTGTGTACCAAGGGGACGCCAGCGCAGTGGGCCTGGTCTACAGTGGGGAAAAGGACAGAAAAGAAAGACTGTCATAGGGCTGCACTGAGCAACTCAGTCCTGGACTAGTAACCCCAGAAACGTGTCCCTGTCCCTCAGATGAAGAGGTGCCTCCAACTCAGCTCCACCTGCAGGACACTCCTAACTAGGCCCAGTTCTGCCTTTTGTTAAACCCCCAAACGGTTGTGAGAGGGAACCCTCCAGGGAGCTTGGGTGAAGACAGACACCTCGTCTCCTCTTGGCGGGGTGCCCGGGGCCACCTCTGGGTGGGGAAGCATTGCGGTGCCCAGGGTCCCTGTGTGCTGGGCTTCAGCTGGCCTCTCCCGCAGACCCCCCGCGTGTGGTGAGCCTGGAGGAGCCCGAGCTGCGCCTGGAGCACTGCATCGAGTTCGTGGTGCGCGGCAACCCTCCGCCGACGCTGCGCTGGCTGCACAACGGGCAGCCCCTGCGGGAGTCCAGGATTATCCGTGTGGAGTACTACCAGGAGGGCGAGGTCTCCGAGGGCTGCCTGCTCTTCAACAAGCCCACCCACTACAACAACGGCAACTACACCCTCATCGCCAGAAACCCGCTGGGCACGGCCAACCAGACCATCAATGGCCACTTCCTCAAGGAGCCCTTTCCAGGTAAGGATGCATCCATTCCTTCCGGGAGCTCGGGGGATCGGGGGTCAGGGCCTGGAGGCCCGAGAGGAGATGCAGCGGCAACAGTGACAGTTACCACGGGAACCGGACGCCCACGGGGTCATGCTCAGCCACCCCAGTGTTTTGTGTCAGCTACTGTAGATAAGTCTCTGTTTTCCAGTCGCTGTCACAGTACAAGCCCTGAGAAGTACACACTCAGTTGTGCCCATAAGGGCATATGCGTCGTCGTAGAGAAAGCGGGGGCTTGAGAGCCGGACAGGAGGGCAGAGAATCTTTCTTTGCTGGGAGACTCCTCTGGGCTGGTGCTTTGCTTTTCGGAGCCTCAATCTCCTCATCTGCAAAATGGTCATGATTGCACTGCTCCCATAAGAATCGTGTGCTTTTCAGCGACATAAAGCATACAAAGCTCATGTCGCCGGCTTTGGTGCATGATGATGGTTCGATGATCTTCCACTGCAGGGGCTTCAGGGCCCTTCCAGTTCAGCTGCCTTTCTCCCCATCCCATGGTGAGTTGGTGGGGGTGCCTGATGCTGTCAGCCTGTGATGGTGCCAGTGTCAGGTGGACCAGGATCCTCACTGAAGTCATAAGAGAACTTTGAACATTTAGGAGGTGATTCTGTCTTTCTCTGTCTGGGTCAGAACATACTAAACACCTTCCTGAAGCTAGAGAAGAAAGCACCCGAAGGGATTAGGGCACGTGGTGGCAGCATCTCCTGGTGGCTTCAGCAACGGATACGTTTCTGCTGGTGAAGCCATGTATCTTTGATGACCTTGGTGATTTCTGCTGGGAACAGGCTGGGTGATCTCTTGACCTCTATTTTCCAGACATCGGGGGTTCTAATGAGATAAAGGGAAGTGTAAACACTGCTGATCACACACACACACACACACACACACACACACACACACCCACAGCCACAGCCAGCGCCGTGCAGCATCTGCTTTTGTGAAGGTGACTTTATAGCCCACGGAGAACAGGGAGTGGCTCCAGGAGGCCTCGTTTATCTTGGCACAGAAACTCTAACGAGAGGCCCCAAGAGTGACACCTGGGGAAATGAGCCTGCATGGGAAGCTTAATTCTTGCCGCTGAGGTCCAAGGAGGATCGAGACGTGCTGATGGCTGACGCCCTGGCGACCCCGTTTGGTCCGACATGTCCAACATCATCCCCAGTGTGCCCAGTAAAAGGCCTCGGGACACTCGTCACTGGGGGCCATGCCGGGCTGTCTTGCGGGAGGTAGGACAGTCCTGGCAGCTTTTAGGTGAACTGATACTTTGCCCTCCCTCACAGGCCACGGAGTCAGGGCAGGCCTTGTTGGCACAGAGGGCTGCAGTGGCCCTCTGCCCTGCCCTGCCCATCTCATGATTAGAGGCTGAATTCTGGTTTTTTTCTTTTAATTAAAGTTTATTGGGGTGACAATTGTTAGCGAAGTTACATAGGTTTCAGGTGTACAATCCTGTAACACATCATCTAAAAATCACATTGTGTGTTCACCACCCAGAGTCAGTTCTCCTTCCGTCACCATATATTTGACCCCCTTTACCCTCATCTACCACCCCCCGTCCCCCTTACCCTCTGGTGTGAACTCTGTTTTAAAGAGCAGAGCCTACGCTCCCTGGTGGGTGAGCAGTGAAGCCCCTGAAGCAATGCTTCTGTTCCCAAAGGGAAGCGCCTGGGGCCTGGAGAGAGCGCGGAGCCCTGGCATGCAGGGGATGGAGGGTGAGCCACCCTGGGCTCCCCCCAAACCCCCTTCCAGGGTGTCCTGAGGGCCGCAGGGGCAGTGGGGTGGGGTGGGGGGCACAGCTTTTCCTTTGCCCTCCCTCCAGTTGGGAGGGAAGCAGTTCTCTGCGTCCTCCCAGCCGTACAGACGCCACCTCTGTCCCCTTCTTGGGGTCTCTGGATACCCGTGTCACCTGATCACCTCCCCTCAGGCCAGTGGTCCTCAGAGGGTGGTCCCCAGACCAGGAGCATCAGTGTCACGAGGGCCTGTGTTAGAACTGGGCGTCCAGCCCCACCCAGACCTGCTGAATCGGACAGCCTGGGGTGCGGCCCAGCAGTCCGTGTTTCAGCAAGCCCCCCCCCCAGGCCACGCAGGTACTTCCTTCCAGGTTTGTGACCTGCTGCCTCAGCATTTGGTGGACTCAGGTCCCAGGAGGCCGGGAGAAGGTAGAGTCACAGAGAAGCTCACCTGAAGTCGTTTGCTCAGACCTGTCTACAGCCCGCTAGGGCTACTGGCTTTGTGAGCCTAACGGACTCTGCAGATGATAAAAAGGCAGTGACAGGGAAAAGATGGGCCAGTTGTGCCACATGACAAAATGGCTGCACACCGAGGCGGGTGAATTACCTAGGGGAGCAGGCAGGAAACCTCACAGCTGCTGAGCCCTGGGTACAAAGGCGTCCTGTGGATTCCTGCTCTTGTCTTGTGTCGTGAGGGTGTGGGGACAGCATATTTATCATGTGTGCCCCTCTCCTGCTCCCAGGCAGCACAGCATAGACGTTAGGGTCCTGAAATCAGACAGACCGAGGTGCGCGTCCCACCTGGGGCCCCACCAGACCGGCGGCCTGGCTTCTCAAATGGGACTTAGTGCCTGGCGGGCAGACAGTGCAGGACCACCACTGCTCTGGGCCTCTGTGCAGGGAAGGATGACAGCAGGTTCTGCCCACATTGCCACCAGGGTGACATGAAGTCTGCCACGTGGTTCGCGCTGCGCCCGGCATAGGAAAGGCTCACCAGCTCGCGGCTACTGCTAGGACTGAAGATGGGGAGACTCAAGATGAGTTGAAGAGTCCTAGAACCAGGAGTCCTTCTCTGGCCAGGCTGGTGACTTCTAACACACAGTCTTCAGGGAGGTTAGGGTTCACTTGCGCTCAATCGCTCGTCAGCTCCATGATCTCAAGCAAATTACTCAACGTCCTGCTTCCACCTCAGAGGCTGTGGTGAAGATTAATCCACATGCCGTGGATGAATCCACATGACATATGCACAACAGTGCTTGGCATAGAGCAAGCACAGAGTTACTTGGGCTTTTGTTGTGGTGGTGGTTGTTGTAAAGAACACCTAAAGGTCGCTGATAGGGCATCTGTTTTTTGGGGAAGACAGAAGGTGAGGGTCTGCTTTCCTGACTGTTCACGAGTCCGACACCCACGGGCTGGAACCCAGAGGTTTCCATTAGCAGGGATCTCCTCAGAGTAGGACATTCAAATGAACATGTTCTAGAAGCTTTCGGTAAACTCACGTGCAGTACAAATGGCAGTGTTTCCTTCTCCATTTCCAGCGACGCTCTGGAGTGTTCAGTGTGGCCTTCAGCCTCAGTGCCGGAGGTCCCTGGATGGACTAGTCAGGGAGATTGGTTCTAGAAGCATGAAGCTGCCCCTCTTTGGTGGTCCAGGAGCATAGAGGAGCTGTGAGAAAGGGTCTGGGAAGCGGTGAGGAATCAGAGATCTGAGTGTCAGGCAGGCAGGAGCAGAGGAGGCTCGGGTCACGTCAGGGTTGGGTGGGGGTAGGGAGCTGGGGGGCCACGAATGTGAAGTTGGGCGCGCTTAGCCCGCGTGTGGTGAGCCTGGAGGAGCCCGAGCTGCGCCTGGAGCACTGCATCGAGTTCGTGGTGCGCGGCAACCCTCCGCCGACGCTGCGCTGGC